AGAGTGTTTACAATAGAAAGCATGCAAGGTTAGAAGACAAATTTAATATCATCGGGTGAGATTAGAGAAAGTTAAAATTCGAAGAGGCATCTTTCAAGCTGATAGTTTGCCACCACTACTGTTTGTAATCATGTACACTACCGCTGACCCTTTGCTGAGAGAACTGAATAAAGGCTACATCATAGGAAATACAATAATTAAATCACCAGTTATTTATGGATGATTTAAAGGTGTTTGGGAAAAGGGAGAGTCGAGTGGAATCCCTTGTGAATACTGTGCATACAATGAGTAAGAACTTGGAATGGGTCTTCAAAAATGCGGAGTGTTGGTTTTGGAGAGAGCTAAGGTGGTTGGATGTGAAAGACTTAGCTTACCAGCAGGGAAATAATAAATGAAGTGGGAAAAGGTGGATACAGATACCTCAAGATTCTAGATCTAAATAAAGTAAGCGATGAAGAAATAAAACAACAGCTCAAGAAGGAATTATATAAGAGACGCCTCAACCTGATTCAGAGCTCAAAACTTCATGGGGAAACAAGATCATGGCAGTCAATATATGGGCAGTTGCTGTGCTGTGGTACGGAACAGGAGCTTTAAAGTGAACAACAGAGGAGCTGAAGTAATTGGACAGAAAAACTCGAAAGTTGATGACCATGCATGGTGCTCCTCACCCTAAGAGTGATATTAATTAAAAGGCTTTACATCTCAAGAGGAAAAAGCTGAAGGGGTTTAATAAGTTGCGAAAGATGTATCCCGAGCAACGAGAACAGTGTGTGGTACTTTGGGAACAGTAATGGAAGGCAGTTGATGTAGAAAGTGAAAGCATCGGGAGTGGCAGGTGTAGAAGCTGCTGTAAACCAGAGAAATTTAAAAAGGAAGCAGTAGAAGAAGTGAAATCATGGAGACGTGAATAAAATAAATGATCAGTTTCTGAGGCAGCTGGAAAAAAAGGGTATGATGACATGGACTTGGCTAAAAAAAAACTGACCTAAAATCCAGCACTGAAGCTCTCATCTGTGCGGCCCAAGAACAAGCTTTGAGGACGAATTATGCAAACTTTAATACGGACAAGAGTGTGGAATCTCCATTGTGTTTAATGTGTCAAGAGAGAGGTGAAGGGGTTACCCCAAAAAAAAAAGAGTACAAGTGTACATAATAATAATAATAATAATAATAATAATAATAATAATAATAATAATAATAATAATAATAATAATAATAATAATAATAATTAATAACGAAGCAAAAAGGCACGAAGAATGTTCAGGCAAGTACTTGTATCAATAGAAAGCCGTTTTATTTTAAATCTTCCCAGTAAGTTGTAAACTTCTTAGACCTTGTCTTTAGTACTAAAATTAAACATTACCAATTCGTGGCTATCTCGTTTTCAAATTTAGAAAAAAAAAAAAAAAGAAGTTATGCCTCTTAAGTTTATTCCTTTCTCTTGTTAAGAAAATTCAAGAAGCTGGGGAGGAAATGAATGCGTGGAAAACTGTTGTTTCTCGAACATGAATAGAAAGACGGGAATTTGTATAGACAACATAAGTAAAAGAAAAGGGTTAATGGAAAAAAAAGCATGTATAGTGAGGTAGCGTGCCTCCATTAAATAAGATATGTTAGAGGATATCGCTAAAGGAGAGTCACTTTGGGGGTCTCCCCTTCGTCTTTGAACCAGCACCAGTCAGATATGGGCTTTACACCGGCCTTGCAAGCGCCTTACAATTGATCACAGACACTCGCGTCAGAACTGCCCAGTAAGCTGTTAGTTGTATGGCTGAAATGTTAACCGTCTAAAAACACAATTGATCGGCATCCGCGAGATGGTTAGAATCTCGACATATTTGTTGTGAAGTAGTTTTGTGTTTGTTTTAAAAGTCATTTTTATCATGAGGATTTGGCCGATAGTTTTTTTTGTTCCCAAGCTCGCGCTCGTGCGTAGGGTTTCGTTATGTTTAGGTTTGAAGAACAAGGTTAATCCACATTTGTGTTAACAGGTTTTTTGACTGTTATTATTTTTTTATTGGGTTTGTCGATATGTGTCATCATTTATCTTGTGGTTAAATTAAGTCTGATTGTCAGCCCTAGAAGTGAGTACGTTTGGGGTTATAGCTGATCTTGATTGTTATATTACCCAAATCGGAGTTCCTGTTTAGGTTTAAGGTCGAGCCGCCTCGTCGGTTTGGTTGTAAAGCTTTTACTGCTTTCCTAGTTCTTGAATTGTACAACCTTATGACTTTGTTTTCACCCATGTTTGTGATCAACAGGAAATTCGCATAAATCACTAAGAAGGGCGTTGGCGTTACTCTCGTGGTCAGCAAGCGTGAACGTACCTACGTTTAAATTATATAAGTTGACAAAAATTTGGTGCAGTACGTTGTTGTTGAGCTGTAGTATAGTAGTTGAGCTGTTGAAGATGTTAAAGTGCTCGAGTGTGTTGCTGACAGTCATTAAAAGAAGAAAAGCATCCAAGTTTTGTTAGAGTCCCCGAATCCTCACGCTCTCGCTAGTGAGCTAGCCACCCCGTCAAAGAACCCTCATATTTTTAATGCCACAAAGTGTAATTGGATAATCACATCACACCTGCTTAGTCACTCCTGCCTTAATTTCTCCCATAAATTGTGAACGCGCTCTAATAATGATCATAGAAAAAATCTTGCATCCTCAAATGTTGTAGTACAGTGTACGACTGGCTGTGATAAACGTTTGATAATCCCATCTGATAACACACCTAATGTTGTTAATATACCTTCCTGAAGTGCTCATGAGTAGTTATTAAGGGATAAAATTAAGCCCCGTTCTTTATTCTCGTTAAATTCTGTCTTCCATCGTACTAATATAGATATTACTGGCCTCTCAAAACAGGACACTAAGGCAATATAGAACATCGAAATGGTTTTATTTGCACAAAGATGGTCCCAGTGTAAGATTTTTCAAGAAACAAACGATGCCCGATAGACCTCTATAATATATTTTATCCTTATAAATAGAAAGAATCAATTCGATAAGCTTCGCAGATTAACATTATTTTATTTATTTTTCTATAAAACTGTATTTTGAAACTGTATAATAGTCTCTTGTTTCTTTGTAAAGAAGACTTCAGCCTTTTTGTTTATTAAACAAGAACACAAAAAGATGAATGAGAGAGTTCATAGGTCAGAGGCAAATTTAAGTCAATGAAGTACGATATATTAATAGTTTACGAACGTTTACGAAGCGTAAAACACCACAACAAGCTAACTAAACACTGAGACTTTCAGTAGCATCAAGATATAGTCCGTTCATCGCGATGGAAATTAGGAGAAAACGGTTTTGTAATAACCAATCACGACTAAATTTAAGTTTTTTCAGTTTAGCTCTAGCTTTGTGCCAATGCTTTGTTTTTAACGGCTTTTTTGCGCTTTTAAAATCTGCGCCTTTTTGTTTTAACTAACCAGGCAGAGTTAGAAGTGATCGGGTACGGCCAGGTAAGTTGGTGTAAAAGGGGCGCTTTTAAGTAGGCCTATCCACCTATTGTTATGTGGGGGGGAGACAGTTGTTAATAATACATGAAAGTAAACGACTATTCACTTATAGGTATGTTTAGGTGTAAACTCATTTGAAGCAAGGGTGAGTGTTATATTGCCACGGCTTGTTTTAGTTGTAGCCTTGTTGCTATCTTTTTGCAAAAATGTTCTCGACCAACGAAGTGTGGTTTTCGAATTTTCATTGAGGTATAAACTAATTGAATTTACCTGGTTGCGCTCGCTTCGTACGTACAAGTTACATTGGGTGCTGCTATAATGTTACGAGTAATTTCTCCATTTGATCCGTGTTCCTTGTATCAGTTGGGATTTTGCGGTGACATTTACCTCCCGTGGAGTGTCAATTGTAGTTGTCGGGCGTTCGAGTTATTCATACTAGACACAGCTCCGGCGTACTTAATTGGATTGTCACGTCCGAACGTTTAAACTTATCTTTTCGTTTTCTTTCTTCAAAAATACAAGGTATTTGGTTTTATTATTGTCTCTGTTTTCTTTTCTTTCTTTGTCACAACCCAGCTTCCTCAGACATCACCCTTGTAGCTATTGGCTACCTCTTTGCTTCGATCACCAAGGCGAGCAGCGCACTAATCCCTGGTCTCCTGTGGTCCCTTTGGTGTCCTGTTGCCATTTAGGCGTTTCTATCTGAATTTTTTGTCAGGATGTTAGTCAGCGGTGTTACGGCACGATGAGTTAATTTATACTCTTATCACGCACTCTCATTGCGTCACTCTAACTGCGCTACATTTGGCTCATTCAGTTGCGCGTGTAAACAGTTTCAAATAAGTATTAATTAACCAATTAATTTTAATTGGCTTAATAAGGGAGTCTTTGATTAGAACTATGTGCATCGCCATTTATCGTTTCGGCTCAAATGATGTTTCTCTGCCCAGCATCTGCTGCAGCTAGCATTATACGCTTAGAATTTCTAACCTCTAGTTTTAATCATAACTTAAAACAATATGGATGTGCATTTAATTATAACCAGTTTCCCCAGATGCGTTTATTAGATAAGCCATAGTTTTTAAGTAAACATGCAAAAATGCTAACTGCCTCAAATAAATCAATAAAAATCCCGGTATTGAACTTCTAAATTTAGCTATAAAAAGGATTTTGATGGTTGGCATAAACGATTATTTACAAATCTTAAGGAGGGGAATTTATCCACAGAAAAGTCTTCATGGAGCTTTAAAAGGCAACACAAAAGACCAAATCTGATATCTTAAAATTCATACTTGGCTGCGAGGCTTGGAAAATAAAACAAAAGAAATCATCTTGAGGCTCAATAATGAATAATACATTTCCTTTGTTTTATTCCCCCAAGCCTTGGAGCCAAGTATGAATTTTAATATATCGAAAATGGTCTATTACGCTCTATAGTTTGCCGGGTAACAGAAGGGATTTAAGATAATCACCTTGTGGACATGCCCTACAATCAAACGGACTTTTCCCTGGAGCATTATTGTAATGGACAAAAGTCCCATTTTCGCAGTGAAGGCAGCTGTCACTTACAAAAGCCAGTTGGTCTGTGTAGAAACCTCCTGGAAGAAGAAAGGATGAAAAATGGATCACTACCATAGGAAAGGAAATTAAAAAATGATATAAAAGAAAACTTACTGGGATTTAATGGGAACCTAAACTCTCAAAAATATTGAATTGACTTATGACAGCATAAATTTTATCAACTACCCCGTGAAAGAAAAAATTGAGCTCATGCAAACCTTGCAATTAAAGTTTATTACACACCTTTTGAGATTTATAGTTTGTGTTTTCTTTTTCCCAGGAGTTTAGGTCCGTTTACCGAACCATAAAGAAAAGTACTGTGTCAAGTAATAAAATGTATCTACCGAACATCAGCTTCTGTCTTACATCACACACCCAAAAGGAGAAAGTATTAGGGTTGTTATGGGTGCAGGTGTCTCCGAGGCCTTGAAACCCTGAATCTGTTCGAAAGCGAATCCCTCTATTTCACTACCTTGTGTAGACGGAAAACGTAATAACTTTTTGTAAAACTCAAATATAACTCCATGTTCATCAAGGCTAAATAAATCTCCTTTCTTTAATTAGCTAGCCACGTGGGGTGGCAATGACGACAGTCCAACGAAATGGACAATGTGTGTAACCCAAAAAGAATAATAATACGAATATATCTTGCTTGTGTTTTTATCTGCCTTGTTTCCCTTTTCACACAAGAAAGTATACTTTTTAGAATTGAATTTTAAAACAATAACAATTTATTGTTAGTACTATAAAACCAGACCAAGGACCACCAACTTTTAAACCATCTCCTGTTCAAAACACTGACTGGAAAAAATGTATTCCAGTTTAGACACAAGACCCGAAAATCGTACCCTTTTGTGAGACACAACCCGTTTAAGCCAAATGTCGGATGATCCCCAAGGGGAGAGCTCACCTGGCCAAACACTTCAAGAGATTAGGGGCTTGTAGGAATTTATTTATGGTTTCATGCATGGAGATTAAAGTCAAAACTGTACCCTTCAGACCCTTTTTGTATGACAATCTCAGTTTCATGCCACCCAGCCTTATTAAGTCTTTTCTACAGCTCAAAGGATTTGGAAATTCCATGAGTTAATGAATCAGTCAAATTGTTGGAATAAACGTTAGCAGTTTACAATAGGTGTTTTTTTCTTGTTCCTGGCGTTCCTAACAATAAGATGATGTGATCCACGCAATTTTAACATTCTTTGTCGTAATACTTGCTAAATATTAAGACACCCCTGTTTAGCAGTCAACTTCTATTAAGTGATCACCAGACTATTTCCCGGGAGTGAGGTTTGACTGTATTGTTTCTTCTCAACAAAACGATGAATAAATCAAGAAGCTATTTTAAAGAAAGTTAAGAATGAGGTGGATGATTTAGGACAAGTTTTCTCAAGAACTCTACGGATTAGACCTGAAACTTCAGTTTAGCTAGCCTGAATTTCATCCGATTACTTCAAGTCGTTATTTCTCCCTTCCATAGTAGAAAACGACTCGAAGCAATGGGATGAAATTCAGGCTAGAGTTTAGCTGCCTACGTAAGAAATCTTAGGATACACCACTTCTTCCAGTGGGTAAGGGAGAAAGAAACATGTATGCTACTATACGTAGTTATATAAAAAGGGCCGGATAAGGACTAATAATGTGAGTATTTAGAGTTTTTTTCCGTTCCTTTTTACACCACACCTTCCCCACGGGGCCAAAAGAGAAAATGCCAAATGACATTCATCACTTTATTTGTTAGGCTGAAGAGGTACAAAGTTTTTTTAGCGATAACGTTAGCCTGTCTCGTTCTTTAGGGGCGCCTACAAAACAGGGTTAAAAATGACAGAAATGCAAATAAGGTTCTTGAAAGGTCGGCTCTCCTATTTAAGTTATTTAAGTTTAAGTTGTTTTGTTTTTAGCGAGACAAGCAGCTAAAAGAAAACCACCGAGATAACGCACATTAGCGGAGTTTAGGCTACTGAATCCTAATCACACGGTATAATCACAACAATTAAACGTTTGCTTCATATTAGCTGAGGATTTGTGCAGGATGTTAGATTCATGCATTTTGTAACTTGCAGTCAACGGTAGTCAGGTAATTTAAGAAGATAGCAGCCTCCAATTATCGTGAATACAAAGCAGTTCCAGTACCTAAAATTGTTACTGTATTTGCTAAACATTATCATTATCCTATTTTAGTGGATCAACATCGTCAATGTTAGACTACGGAAATGGCTTTACTTTGCTTTTCAAGGTGTGTCCTTTGTTTTTAAAAAAATTGTAGACACCCGAAAGATCGTCTGTGCATTAAGTATTCTATTAAGAAATAAAAACACTTCATCTGATACTCTATACCCTGGGTGCCAGAGACCGTTTTCTAGCGCGGTTTCCGGTATCTCTGGTGCCCAGGGTAAATACTCCATAAAGTTCACGTTAAACAATGAGAACAAAATGTATATATCAAAGCCAAATTGATGTTATCTCCACGATTAAAGATGTATTGTCAGCTAGATTAAGAGGTAATTTACCTGCTGGACACTCTTTGCAATTATTGTCTTCAGAGGAGGCATTAACGAACCACCCTAGTGAACATGGTAGTAATTTGTATTCTCCAACACTTTGATTGGCAAATCCAGATTTTTTAAAAGCTGATAGTAGGTCGGGTGGAACCCAAGAATCAGAGAAGTCGATATATTTAGAATCATCCTGCTCTAAGCCGCTAAAATGGAAAATAAGAGAAAAAAGACAAAGTAAGTGCTATCTAGGGGCTAATGATATAGTGAAAAAATAGCTGCACATATTCAAATTTTTCATATCTTTGTTGTTATGCTAATTAACTCACAGATAAACTGTTGTTGTCATTGTTCTGAAGGCTCTTTCTTCCCGCAATTTCATAATCCCAATTTTTCCTTCTTCCAAACTTCTATTGAAAAAGAGCGGTAGAGAGGTGATAAGAATCGCTAAGTTTGGAAACGGTAAGAAATCTGCAGATGATACAATAGGGTCCCGGCGGGATTGTTGGGGAAGCTTCTACGTCTTTTACAGGTTTTGTTTTCTGTTTGTGAATCCGCGAAGGCTATTGTATTCCTCAAATTTCCTCTTAAATCTGGACCCTCATATGCAATAGTAAGGGAAAAGACGAGTTTTACAGACACACACGTACACGTTTTAAGCATTTTTGTGAAAGAAACTATTCAGTTGTACTGTTTTGACGAGAGAAAACTGCAAAACAGCGAGGGAAAGGGGAAAAATGCTAAGCAAAGTTTCGCTTCACATGTATTGTCCCTACTCCTGTGCGCCATCGACGAAGTGGGGAAAATCAACCGTTTGCTTAGGAGAGTTTAGGTAGCAGGAAAACTACAGGTATTCTGTTTTGTACAGGAAGGTAAAAGATTAACCTCTTTGAAACTATTAGCTTGATAGTATCCACTTTTTTAAGAAAAGAGCAATTGAAATCTTAATTTTTTCCTGTGAACAATAAAAGAATAAGGAACGCATGACAAGTAAATATTCTCCACATCGTACTGTTAAACTCATCCCATTATGGCTCTTGACTCATCACATTTGTGACACACTAGACGAGATAGTTGACTGATTTTCACCCGCCATTTAGCGACGAAGAATGAAGGAAAGCCTTGGCGTGACAAAAGTGTAGAAAGTGTACTTACATATTAGTCGTGAAGTCAGGGTCCTGAATGCCGTGGAAAGATCGAAGGCTAACTGTCTTTATGTTTGTTCGTATCGCGTATCTTAAAGAAATTAAGGAAGAAACATTTATTCTGATAGATCACTGCATTTCCACCGTTTTGATTTGGTGGTATCATAAGTGTATCTGCAACTGAAAGTTTTCTGCTAAACAAAAATTTAACATCTTAGAGGGTGGGTAGCACCAAAGTCAATCAAATGAAAAACATTTCAAGCTAGAAAAAAGGAGAAGAAGGATCGACTTAAAAGAGAGTGCGAAAATTCACATCGCTTGCATTTTTAATTTGTTCAAGCCTGACGCATCTTTTTGTTGGCAACTTTGACAATAACAATTATCAGTGGGAGAGACCCTTCTACAACGAATAAAGAACTTTAATTTATCACCCATTGTGGTCATCAAAGTAGTATTATCCTTTTATTTCGTCTGTTTAACTTGAGTCGCTCTCCAAACGTTAGAACTGGCCATGGCTGGACTGGCCATTTTGAAAATGGAATAGGCTTTTTCCAAGAGTTTTTGATAAAAACCTATTTCCTTCGTGCATGCTATTTAGGGTTTGACTGATCTGGCTGGATAGTTTTGATTAAAAGTGAAATTCTTATTACGACGGGAATGGCCCGGCCGGTCAGTTCTGACAAATGGAAAGCGCCCTTAAGCACATGTTTTACTATTCGCTGTCTAAAATAATAACAGAATTAACAGCAACAGTATTAAATTGAACAACCAAAAAAAATTAAAAAGGCATAAAAATAGGACTATTGACAATAAATGTATTGATTGATGAAATAAATCTCTAAATCGTGATCTACACTGAGCACTGTATTTTACATGGTTTTGGTTTTGAGAGATTTCATTGTTATTACCCAACTTTTATCTTTTCAAACCTGTTTAATCTTGAAACGTTCTCTGCTATTATTAATTCATTCTCGGCCTTTTTTGTTTCTCCTCCTCCCTTATTTTATCGCTACTGTCCCTTTAGTGCATTTTTTGTCCTTGTTTCCGTGGGTCAGAAGGCGACAGATCTCCACCTGAGTCACCTGTTATTTATCATTTATTATAATAAATTTCCGCCGGATTCAACACGCAATGAAGATTGGCTATAAAAAACAATTTTTATGCGGAGAGTATAAAACACGGAGTTAAAGCCGTCACGCCATCTGTGAATCACACCATAGGCATTAGGAACAGTGAGAGAAGACTGGTTATCGAATGGGGTGGTTCAATTCAAGAGACAAGTTTTGCATTTCAGGGTTAAAAGTACACCGTTAAAAGACACAAATGGAAAGGGAAAGTTCGAATGAATGTTCAGTTTTCTTTTTGTGCACTAAAGAAAGCGTTTGGTTACGAAATCGTCCTTCAAGGAATTCAACAATGTTTTCTTCCCGGGGAAGCGCAAGATGTCCTGTTTTGAAATTAAAACCAAGGCAGCGAAGTTTTTGAAGACTTTTCAGGTACATTTTTTACTCTATGATCAAGAAAATTACGTTTTTAAACAGGAATTTATGTAATGTATAAATGTTTCACGAACGTTTGTAATAGACGCTAAAGAAAATTACAAAATAGATGGATTTTGTGTTGAATTCTGCCATGTGCTCATCCGATTTTGCTTCAGTTTTCAACGATAAACTTCTTAGTTTTTGAATAAAAATTTTCAATAAGTAACTTCTCTGTCTATCTTTTTTGAGCTATTGTTCATTCATAACATTAGCTCAAAACACGATCGCGAGACCAAAGCATCACTTCTGAGAAAACGTCGGCGAAGAGGAGAGTTCCGAGTTCCCCCTGGCCTCTGTGTCAAAACAAGGATAGGTGCTCAGCCTTTGATTCTCATGCAAATAAAACTCATTTCCACAAGAAAGGTTGTGCACCTAGCCTCATTTTGAAAGTGAGGGATTTAGGAACTCGGAAGTGGCCTATTTTGTAGAATTTTTCAGTAAGCTTACTTTCAGGTTCAGTTTTCTTAGGCACTTCTCGATACGAGGCTAAAGCAGGTTGCTTTCAAATTGTTAGACTGTTCGCAGTCCCCTATTTTTTCGTGAGATCGTTTAGATATACCACGTCTTACCGTCACGGGTATCTTGATTTTCAAATGTACCGAGGGGGCTGGCGTCGGGGATTATAGATTTGGGAGGTGGGGGGGGGAGGTGGCGGGGCGAGAAAAATAGAGGGACTGTAATAACATCACCCACAGCTCGTGTTCACGGAGCGCGTTGTACCAGCAACGCAGGCATTTGATTGGTCATTAGACAATAGATGTTAATTTGCGTTGACAACGGGGTTAGTTTAAGTTGCCTAAATTGACGAGTCGTTGACAAGTCGACTTTTCAATAAAACGTACGCTTTCATACCATAAGGCACATCTTGCGCTAACACACGAAGGAGTTTTGGCATTTTGATTAGGAAAATGTTTTCTTGTGCATGTTTGCCCATTTTATTTCGAGGAATGGCCCAGAAACATAAAAGAGATATTTGTAAACACGCGTAATCGATGCTAAATGTGTCTGGCATGTTTTTCATCACCAGCGGAGTTTCTTAATTACTGAATGGTAAAAGGCGTGAAATTCCTGTCACGCCTCCTGAACGCGAGCTGCAGTGATGTTATTACAGTCCCTCTATTTTTCTCGCTTCCTCCTATCCGTCCCCGCCCCCTAAGTAGTTTTAACACTTATGCAAGTTGGCAGCCCGTAACAGAAAGCGCTCGATCTCGATGATCTTACGGAAAAATAGAGGACTGTGAACAGTCTATCAAATTGTTATGTTTAACGACGTCCATCAGTGAACCACAATTCGTCCGGGTTTAAAGCACTTTTTACCTTTAGAAACTGAATTTTGGACGTAAAAAGTACATTTCTTATGCATTCAAATTACTGAACGTTTCGCTCGTTTCACTTTGTGATAGCTTTGATGCTTTGAGAGCTTTTTTCTTATTCAAACAATCAATCGGTGAGGGTAAAAGGGGAAATGAGTTTGCGGAATGGCATGTGGCATGGCTTGCGGAATGTAATATAAGCAGATTGACTCACAGAAATAAATTAAACTGAAAATTGCGCCCTTTTTGACGCCAATCAATTCACAAGCAGCCGCTTTTTTAATGTTGCGGGCTCAACAACGATGACAATCAAAAAGCCAGGAAGGACTCCTTGATTTTTCACGGTCGATTAGCTTTGTTCGCACAGCATCAAATATATTCTGCTTGCCTTTATTAGTAGGGCTGGATGGCAGCGCCTATAATACACCACAAAAGTCTGCACTTGAGATGTTTTGGTGGGTCACCGGCTCCTCTCTACTTTACTTTTTTTTTTCTGCAAAAGATATTTGTACGATCAACTTCACTTTTTTTTACCTTTATTTACATTTGAAAACACTTGAGAAGTGTTTCTTTTTCAGACGGTGGGTCGCGTGCTCGTGACATAGTTCCGGTCCTTAAGTTTAAGTGGAAGGCGACATAGAGGACGGTGACTTTGGCCGCGACAGCTTGGGGAAGGACGACGTCGACTCGGCGAGAGAAACAAGGTTTAAGTTTCAGTAGAGGTGACGGTCAAAGACTTTTCTTAACTTTATGGAAGGTTCGAGAATGAGTTCCCTGAAATAGATCCGAGAGCTTTTGGTCTACTTTTATAATTATGATGGTGTCATATCAGATGAGAAATTCGTTCCCTTGTACGATGAAATCTAGTTGAGCCCTCTGTTGCTAGAAAGTGAATGTTCTCGCTCCATTGAGCCTTTTTGCGTTCTACATATTGCCAAATTTTGGCACGCTCCACAGTTCTTATGCACCTATCAATGTAAAGCCGGCGGGGGTGGGGATTTAGGGCATGGGGCGGGGATTTGACATTTTTCAAAAATTTTCAGTCAAATTCCCTGCCCACGGACAAATCATTCCAGTCAAATGCAACCAAATTTCCCCACCCCGGGCTGCACATTGCGCTGTCAAATATCCCAAGGCTGGACCCAAGAAAGGGACAATGAAAATATCTCCTAACAAAACTCTGAAATCTTTATTTATATTATGTTGCCGCATCACCAAAGATACACGTTCCTGTTACAGCTGCAATTATATACGTTTTCACCATAATCCGTGTTACACTGCGTACAATACAGAAACCTTTAAGAGAAAGTCCACATTTTGTAAGTTTAAATATACCATTCTTAGTAAAGGATATAAAGAAAGTCATTTTTATAAGCTTACAGTGATTGTAGCGAATGAGCCACACACTGATCAATTGTACTTGCAAAAATCGACTTGGTTGCTCTTTACTTTCGTTTACTTTGATACCGCAGTGTCTTAACAGGTTCAATTGATCAAAAACACGCTAAAACAAACGAAATTTGAAGACAAAACAGTGAAATCCATCCAGCTTTCGCTTGTTCTGGTTGGTCTCCATGATTTCCAGATCTTTCCAGACCGTACGGCGCATGCGTGAAGCGTGGAAGTGGGAAACATATGTTCGGTCTCCGAGTCGGCAGTCAAATATCTCCACGTCGGGCGAAGAAAGATTCAAATATCCCTTCCCATGGGAGAACAAGATCAGTCAAATGCCATACCCCAGGGCCAACAAAGACAATCAAATCCCCACCCCATGCGCTGCCTCGCCCGCCGGCATTGCATTGATAGTTGCATTACGGCTGGTAATCGAGCCTACACAGACAAGGGCTTGAAGCGGTAGGGCTCACTTCCAAGAACTTCTTTAGCAAGCTGAATATTGTGATCTTCAGTCCCCTCCATCTTCATTAAAATAAGAACAAATTATAAAATACGATTGGCAAGTTGCGCGCAAAAATAAACAAGTTCCTTCACCCCGCTTTACACAGGGCTTTATTTTGTGGAATAAATGGTAACCAATTAACACGCAATTTCATTTTGGCCTACAACTTGAGCAGAAATAATAAACTAAAAACTTCGTGAATGAAAAAAAGGGTAAAAGCCAATGTTCAGATGGTGAGAGAATTCTTAAATTTGATTATTTTATAGCTGGGAATTCTAATCCTGTAGTTGTAACACTTGCTACACAAGCTTATGTTATATTCATCATAAAAGAGTGTTAAGTAAGTAATTGAAAAGGGTTTACCATTTGAGAGGCTGAGATATGTGCTAATTACCTCAAATCGGGCAACTTTTATTTCCGGTTGCCGTCCTCCACGTTACCGTCCACCCTAACTTAAGGTCCGTATTAATAATCAGAGATCGACGGTATCTTGTATTTTGTTTCCTTGGCTGCCTGGTAAAGTTTCAGGCGCGCGAAGCTAATAACAGCCGGCGAAGAAGCACGAGCTTCAATAATCCTTGCAATTGAGTTTGTGTGCTTTTTCTCTTTCTCTCTTTTCTTTTCTTTTTTTTCTTCCTTCTTACTTTTAGCATTTTTTTCACGATCAAACGCACACCGGCACTCACATAATCAAGGGAGGTGCAGAGAGACGTGGAAAGGCCGAAAGGGGACACTGGAGAGCAGTTTGCTTCACTCGATTTGTGGATTACAGATTAATGTTTGACTCGGGGCGTTCATTTAGTCTCCAATTTGATCTGATTCGTTCACCGCATTAAAAAATCCCTAGAATTGTAGCTAGTCCGACTTCACGTTCAGCGAGCGTTCCTTACCCTCTAGATCCCTCTAGCGTTACGATAAAGAGTCATCCTTTATTTGAGTTTAGCTAAGAAGTAGAGGTTATATACCCCTAAAACCCAGACAGATTTACGACACGGTAATTCTGCACGTATTTACGAGGCTTTATATTGGTTTATTTCATTTGGGGCTAGGCTGAGTCTGCCGTTTCCTAACAGCTTCGTTACCAGTGTCCTCTCCCTTCCTCCGTTCTATTTTACCTCGTCTACCGTTACGATGTTTTTCTATGTAATGAGGAGCGTAAAAACTCGATAGAAGACTGTTTAAACTTCACATGTTTTCGTACTTTCACTACGCGTCACTGGAAAAGAGACGTCAGTAAAGAACCGTTGCAGTTTATTTTGGAAAGAGTTATCGATGACTTATCAAGTACTGGTGTATATCAAGTATTTGTGTACTGACAATTTCCATATTAAGCACTCGAGAACGGACCAAGTGAAGAACTCTTTTCAAGAATTGGTGCAAAAATATGGAATAGTATTCCCGACAGTGATCGTGTTCCACCTAAATATAAATTTAAGAATACCTTGCAGAGTCGGCTACTGGATATTTTGATACAGGAGGATACTAATGTTGGCCTGCGTACTTTATTGACATATTAAGTAAATATTAAATTATCAGTTTAATTTCATTCATACCTTGTTTCATTTACCTATTTTGAAATATATGTATTCTCTGTCTTGTTAATTTAATATGTTGATGTTCGTGTATCTGTTTAACTTTATTGTTATGTTTCAACCATATTATTGTAACTTTTTTTACTTCTTTCTTCCCGCCTCGATTAGCTATAGGCCACTTTGCGGACAAGGATTAATTATGGCACGTATCCAAAGTCTTTTTAATAAACTTGATCTTGAACTTGAACTATCAGCTGTGTTTCAATTTTTAACCTTGTTTTAGTAGCAGTAATAAATGGACCAACAAAGCGGTTGCTCCTTCAAATTGACGCCAAAAACGGCACGGCAGAGACACGCGTGTGCTTTCCTGTTTAATTTATTTGTTTGCGCAATTTTCGATAAATAAAATTTCCGCATAGTTATGTCCTCAAGCCATGCCACATGCCATTCTGCAATCTCATTCCTTCTTTTACCCTCACCGTCAAATCCGAGATTTCGCCATTCTAGAAAAAGGATTGTGATTGGCTAATTTAAGCATGTTTTATGAGAGTATAACAAGCTGACGACACTTCGTGGTTCGCCGTGAAAATAAAGATTGTTTTGGGAAATAAAAAGCAATGTGTGGGGAGTTAAACGGATTCTTTATCATAAAACAAATAAAGAAGCCTTGACTGTGCTCTATTCTGATGTAAAGCGCTTAGAAAGGGGCTAGAACACTCAAGAAGTAGGAAGAAACACTCAACTGTCTTGTTTTTGCTCTACACCTCTTTCGTGATAATAGAGACCTTTAGCATCAGGTAAACCGCAAACCGCAGACCGCAAACCGCAGTTACGCGTTTGCAGTTTCGCGTTGCCGAGATTTCAAACTTTAGCAAGGCGTTCAGTTCAGTTCAGTACAGTTCATTTTTATTTAGCCAAACTACAATACAATACAAGAATACATATAGGAATTGTAAGGTTGCAAGGGAGCCCAGAAGAAACCAGACGGCTTTATGAAGCCTGGGCTCCCCAGTCTAACAGAGATAAGCAAAATAAAATGATATTCGCGGAGTGATACGTTAAAAGTAGGAACCAAACAGAGACTGAGTTAAGTTATGAATTCAGAAACAAGATAGAAAAAAAATTAACTCTGGATTGGAACAGAATACTTTCCTTTGTTAGTAGGGCAGAAAGGAATATAAAATTGATTTGAACTACGCGTTCATTGTTTAGGGCCGCCATGTTGTTTTCATCAAGTCGAAGTGCATCACTTTAATCGCCCAAAACGAGGCTGTACAATTTTTTGTGGCAAAAAACCTTGCCGTAAATCACTTACCGCTGGAAGCCCTTCCTGCGGTTCAAACGTGAACTGCAAACTGCAAACGTGACCGCAAGGTCATGGTCACGTGACATTTTGCGGTTTGCGGTTTGGCTTTTCCCACGAAAAACCTGATGCTAAAAGTCCCTAACAGTAAATAAACCTTGCAATTGATCAACCCTCAACAATCACGTTATCGGATTTTGTGGCAATCGTTATGATTTGTGACGTTAGTGAACGTGACATTATTCAGGACAAAAAATAACACACATAAAAAAAACTGCGAAATATAGCGAAAGAATGTAGGTTACACACAAAGAAAGCAGGTTTACATCTAAATTGATGTGCAGCAGTTGATATAGAAAAAGCTTTCGAGTTTTTAGAGCTGCTTGCTCAATTATGAAGTCAATAAAAGCGCTCTGGAAAACAAGCTAGAGCATATTCTAGAATTTTTATAGATAATATTGGAAACCTCGGATTTATTCCAGAAATCATATATTACAAAAAAAAAAGTTAAGTAAAAAAAGGAAATGAAAGAATCCTTTTCCTTTATTACAGTACATCGAAAACCTACACTAATAGGTCATTTCTTGAGTACCGGCCTGGAACTGTAAATGCATCTGATCCAATAATCTCCACTGGATTATCTGAAAGCATTCTGAAAAAACAAACAGACAAACAAATGTTGTTATTTAAAGGAAGGGCGATGCCGGTGAACAAAAATGGCAAAAAAGTCATTATGGTTTCGAACGTTTGCATTTCACTTTGATTGGGGTGCAAAATTCCACGCGGAATTTTAAGAGGTTGTCCGCGTAAGAACGGAGAACACAATTTTTCGACATTCACCGATTTTCTTATTATCGTCCAATTTTGGTTCTTGTGATTCTATCCAAGAGCTTTGAGAGGCCTATCTATGACTCAGTGTACGACCAGATCATCTTCCCAGCTTAATATACCGCTTTTTAAAACCAAGGCGGGACAGAGATCTTTTTATTACAGAACTGTAACATCGTGGAATGCGTTAAAGCTCCATTTTAAATTAAGTGAATCTCTTATCATTTTCAAACTTAAAATGAAAGCCTTCCTTTTAAATCAATTTTTAATGTCATAGATTTATATGTAAATAGTTTCTTAATAGTTTATTGATAATCAATTTGTGATGTCCTATAGTTTCTTAATAATTGCTTTTAATGACAATTCTTTTTTTTTATTACCTGTACTATTAATATTTGTCTCTGAAAAGCCCCCATGGGGAGTTGACAATAAAATATGTATTGTATTGTATTGTATTGTACTCGTACCTTTCTAGGTATAACCTGCTGTATGGATTGCAGTACGGTTTTTGAAAAAGAGAATTCAACCGATCGAAACTGCATTGATCCGATTTAAAGTAGAACCAGTTGCTCTTTGATATTGACAACAATAATGCGGCTGGTCTTATGTGCGTTGACTTTAATAAGGCATGACCTTCTTCTTGCTAAACTGAAGGCATATTAAATCCATGATTTTAACTTACAATTGTTTAGAAAATCTTGCTTATCGAAAGCAGTATTTCCGCATAAACTGCACCAACTCGACTTTAGTTAGTGTTACACACTGGGTCCCTCAAGGAAGCATTGCACGCCCCCTTTTATTTCTTGCTTTCATTAACCATCTACCCTTCGCTATTGTTGATATATTCGCTGATAATACCACCTTTTCGTCTAGTGTCAACTTTTTGCTGGGAACACTGACACTTTAGTCTCCCTTCAACAGGACATTGATAGTCCACACCAAATCATATTGGAAATTAGAATCATCGTAGAAATTTGATAGTAAACTGATCATCAAACTGAAAAAATGGGAAGAATGAAACTATAAAGAATCAACCTTCAAGAAAAGGAACTAAATATCTCTGTTAAGGGAGTTTTCGCGTAAGTACCTAGAGCCAAACTGAGCCTTATACATCATACATTTATTTTGATACAACTTACAAGAAAGCAGCAAGAAGAGTTAACCTTTTAAAGTCAATTCGCCCGTCTGTTGATCTACAATGCGCTAAAACAATCTATATCACTATGATTCTACAAACGTTCACATGTTGTGTCACTTGGTCTTGGTTGGTCAGACACCCAAAAAAGTCCCATAAAGAACATTGAACAAAGAAGTTTAACAATCACTGGAAACAAGGGTCTTAAAAGTTCCATCAATAGAAATCAAAGTTACGCGCAAAAGCTGGTAACTGGTCTGAATGTCTTCAACATAATGTTTTCTCCCCCTATTTTGAAAGATTCCATCATTCTGTTTAAAGAAACAATGGTTTTCAAGTAAAATTGTCTAAAGTCGGCTTCGAATTTGGGGTAAAAATCTATCAAAAATCCGAGCTTTTTAATGAGGTCCCAATTGGACTTCGATCCTTAACTTCGAGACTTTCATTTAAGGGCCCTCTGACCTATTTTTCGCGTTGCTAAGGGAAAGCATTTTTACTTGCGGTGCACGCACATAGAATGATTTAGGGGGGTACTGAAAGGAATATTTTTGCTCCTTGGTAAATTATTTCAAGGTTTGAAAAAGTGGCTGCTGCATGCCATCGTCACGTAAAATTCAGTAATTAATTTGGTGTCATCTAATTGAAAATACACCGTAAACGGACAAATTTGCAAAGGAAGAGTTTGAAAAAATACTAACTTACCCCTCTGAGAAAAAATGACACCTTCAAGCAACGAAACTTTACTTTAAGGACTCTTTTTTTCGTGGGTGCCGTGCTCGCCGGGTAGGAATCAGAAGTGAGGGAGCAGGGTTTTTTTAGAGACTTTTAAGGTCAGTTTGTGTCAAAGTTCAATCGAAGAAATTACCTTTTTGAGTAGGAAATTATGTCACTGTAAACATCTCAATTTAAGTTTACTATAATTGCTTTAGCGCATTGTTGAGAAAATAAATTAAGTCGGTAAAACGCTTCCCCGCCCTCCAAACAAAATTCGAGATTCAAGTCTTTGTTTGAATTTTATTTCCATGTGCTCAGTAGATATTAATTGCGTGGACTAGCTGGCTCATGATGCGGTAAGATTATCACGAATTGTTCTCAGTAAGACCTACTAGGTTATGCAAATCAAAGTTCTAAAAAAAATGAATTCAATGTTCTTTTCTTTCGTTGTTGTAAGCTTATGTAGTTTTTCATTCAAAGTGTTTGCTTTGGCAGAAGTAACCACAGTAAATATATTTTGGAAATAATTAATTTCAAGCAACTAGTCCACGCCATAGATATCGGCTGAGCACATGAAAATAAATTCAAACTACATAAAAACGTTTCTCTAATAAAATTCAGTTAAAAAAAAAAAAATTGTCAATAAGTAAAAAAGGAGCGATCAAAATTCGTCCTCTCTCTTTTTCCCGCACGCTCCTCGCACGCTCCGCGATCTGATTAACTGAAATGAGCATGCGTCAAAGGGAACAAATCCGTGTTTCCAAAAAATTCGCGGTTTTTGTTTCACGTTCTGTCTTTCGTCAAAAAAATAAAAATATGTACTATTTATTTTAAAGAAGTCTTTTCAATCAAACAAATTATCAGTATTTCAGCACATCAGACCGGACAGCCCGCCTCAGCGGGTGATCCCACCTATCATGTCAACGCGTTCATACAGCAGCCCATAACCCGGAGCGAGCAATTAACGCCCACACTAGGCCTATGCCACGGCGTTTTTACGGACCGGTTTATTTTTAGACACATTTTAGGGCAATTTTTCACGCAAAAATGGAATATCCATCACGCTGTGAACGCAGTTACGGTTACCCCTGCTACCCCGCATCCAGAGTTCCCGATACCATGTGGGAGTTAAGAAAAAAGTTAAAAATTAATTTCTTTTGTTTCAAACAGTGAAATATTAATAAAACCGTATTTTTTTTAAAATAAATGTCTTAGGATCATCTCGGGATGAAATGTTAATCTTCTGAAATTTTTAATATTTCATAAATCATGCTTTTAAGGAATTCCTCTTCTAATATCATTTTACGCATAGAAATGTTAACTATCACATGAAGAAGTTTGTCCTCTTTTGCATCTTGGCGTGATTTCCTTTTCTTCAGGGGCTACTGATTCGTTCTTCCCGTCGCTTTGTATTTGCTACCCCCTTCTCTTTTTACTACCACGATAGGGTCTTAACTCCACTGAAGAACAGATTGTACAACATGAACTCAAAAAGAACAACCATACAAGTGTTGGAACCAAGCTTAGAAGTACGCGGCTTTGAAGATCTTTGCAGCAGGAGAGTTTTCTTATTCTCTTAAAAATGACATGAACTCTTTGTTTAAAATAGAAACAAAAGGTTAAGCTATTGCCAGTCAACTAAAATTTTTTATGAGCCACAAAAAGGACCATTCCTAATAAAAAACATAACAGTTTATGAATAGAATGCAATGCAAAACTAGCAGAAGCTTGAACTTAAAGAGTCAAAGTAGCCGTGAAATAAGAAACGCCGGCGTTCTAAGTGGTTTAGCACCTTCCTCAAAATTATCAAATCTAAGGAGAAAAATGTTTTTTACGGTTAACTCGTTTTACCCTATTTACGGCTAACGGTTAAAATTTTTCAGTTTTTACGGCTTCGGTTAACCCCATTGAAACCTCGGAAATGGGCTCCTGGTTTAAATTAAAATGAGAGATTACATGGACAGGGGGGTTATCCCACCTAAGCGGGTTACCTCACCTACCGAAGTCCTCTGCCTCCCTGTAAACAGGCCCTATTATTGCCAACATTTTCGAATAAGGTGTATTAATTAATCATAAGAAATTTAGATTGCCCGTAACCTTTTTTACCCGAATAATCTGCAAAGAATGAACCATGGTTCACAAACCAAATAAAAAGTAGCGGTAAGTGATGTAATTATATAAAACATCGCTATGCAAATTGAATTCGGTACTTACAAACTTAGTTAAGCAATTAATTGGGCCTGAGAATTAGGCTGAATTTCCACCGCTATATTCTCGGTCCGATCTTCCTCCTTCCCGGGGAAAGACTGAATCGAAGCTTATGAGTGGCTGATAATTTCTTTAACGTAAGTCCCAAATTTAATTTATGCCAGTCTTAAGGAAACGCCGAAAATGGAAAATGTTATCAGACACCAAACGCATGTTGTTGTTTTTGCCTCTTCGTTCCCTTGGTCTTATCAGCAACGCCTACTGTTATACGTTATTTCCATCGATCTTACATTAGCGAACTAAGGGTTGAACTTTATAGGCATCTCTTTCACGATGCATTTAGACAACGAATGGTGCAAACTGGAAAACAATTGACTATCTCTGGTTGAAAAAATAACCAACATATCCCTAGCATTTACTTGCATCACTTACTCTTCTCACGTAGCTCAATGAATGAGATTTTTAGGCCCGTTTGAGAGATTACTTTTTCTTAAATCACCCTCCCCCTCCTTCCATTGGTAAGTGGAGGTCTCCTAATGTTTGGTAGATAAGTTTGTGGTTTTCTTTGTAATGGCTTAAAGTTCTTGGTTCAAAGTTTATTTGCTGTTTTTAATCATAAGTTTTTGAATGGAACATTCGCTTTTAGGACTTTAGCTGGAAATAAATATTAGTAGTTCTTATGTTAACTGATACCAGCGCCTTGAAAAGTTGATTAAAATAAATAAACAGTAGTATAGTGCTTTAAAGAGATATGTCTAGCCAGTGCTTGTTAATTAGGATTATAACTGAATAAATTGCTAGGATTGTATCGCACTGTGAAAATCGACTTTGGTCCAGCGTACGTATTTTCAGCGCTCATCTTTGCACTCAGTCTATATAGTTGATCAGCGTTTGCTTGTGTGGGTACCACAAGCTGTTTCCATATTACGAAAGAATATGCAATATTTTGTTTCTGAAAAACTTCAGGGCATTTTTGAAACAGGTTACTTCTATTAAAAGAAAATAACCCTAAACCTATGGTGCTCTCATGTTACTGTACAAAAGGTACAGCGAATAGTGACAACTGCCAAAGGCAGTCATTTTCGTACGTACATTACTTCAAGATTCCTTTGCTGCTTGAATGCTTGATCAGGGATTCTCGTTAGGTTGTTATTTTGAAGCAAGCTAAAAGAGAACAAAGACCTGGATTTTAGGTGAAAAATGACAAGTGAAGTAATGAGTAAATTAAGAACAAATGTTAACAATAGAAAGGCATCAACAAGATGAATGATGCTTATGATTCAGTTGTTACGTACATTACTTGAAGTGTTGGCATATTCTCGAAGGCTCTTTCAGGGATTTCCTTGATTCTGTTTCCGCCGAGAAATCTGAAAAAAAAAAGCAATGTAACTTACACTTGTTTTATTTATTCAACCTGTTGACAATGAAACATCTTAAAATTAATGGCTTTAAAAAGATTGTACACCTCAGAAGGGGTGTGTGTGTGTGTGGGGGGGGGGGGGGG